CGATCGTGGGAGCAGCGGGCCGTAGGCCCGCAGATCGTCAGTGCCCAAAAGTGTGGAATTCTGACCTATGTCTTGAACCTGGGCCTGTAGCTATCACAGAGTGGGAGCTGACAACACCCTCCCCAGAGAGAGACTCTGCGTCTTAGGGGACAACCGGAGCATCCATCTTCTAACCTAACAGCAGCCGAACGAGGCATGGTTGACACCCATACAAGTGTAGGTCCTACGTCGCTCGGAACCGCCTGAGTCTCGTTTCAGAGCGCAGGGCTGTGGCGGGTAGGAGTGCTGCTTGCAGTAACTCTGGGCCTAGCATGTGGGACTTTCCGAAATTAGGGGTACCTTATTCCCATTATATAGGGTACTCCTATTTTTGGAAACCCCCATGTGGATACAGACGAAGATCGGCGCTCGAGCGAGTCCACGCGCCTGGAGTGCCGCAAAGCTCCCTGGAAGTCGCTGCAGTCCGCGAGGGCTGTGAGCTGGAGCCGGCGGCGCGCTTCTGCCTCCCGAAAGCCCTCAGCGCCGACAGTTGGGACGAGGTTAGCTTTGAGGCAGCGAAAGCGCTTTCAGAGGGACGAGGGCATCATGTCGGACGACCAGCAGGAGGGGGCGGCCCAGGTGGTACCGGACGCTGAGCAGGGCGACTTCTCTGCATGCGAGGAGGCGGGAATCGGCAGAGAGCCTTCGATTTGTAGCCAGGCCAGGTCGAAACTGACCCGGTGACGGAGGCCAGGGCCTGCGACGAGGCCGAGGTCGACACCGAGGTGGCCATGGACCCAGTGCTCCCGGCAAGAGGTTGCACAAAACCTTGGGAGACCGTCTTCAGCGAGGTCGCCGCCAGGCCGGGCGCGTCCCCACCAAAGATCCAGGAGCACGGGCCAGGGCACTTCGTTGGCTTGGCTCCGTGTCGCATCGGCATCAGCATGTTCTGCCAGCTCCGCTTTGTGAGGGACGTGATGCGTGCCGGCTCGAGGACTGTCCTCACCTGCGATCCCTACACGTTTGCTCCGTCCCTTTCGCAGTATATGCGAGGAGGCCCAATTCGGTGGTGGTCAGCGCGATGACCCTCCTTAGGATTCGGTAACTCTTCTCGCTCTTGGTCTAGATAGTCTAGAACAACCTTCGTCGTAACCGATATCGCCACAGGGTCTCAGTTTCGGAGATCCGTTGAGAGCTAAGGGCTTCTGGTTTAGAGCCCTGGAGTTCGTGCTTGATTCTGATGGTACTCATTCCCTAGCGGCCCTAGCGTTTGCAGCACTGAGGGTACTGAGAAAAGTCCCTTTGAGCTCATTTTGGCACGTTTGTCCATGACTGCATCTTCGTCCGCTGTTCCAACCCTGGCTCTGCGCATCCCACCAAGGCGGCAATAGTATAGATATCTGTCCTTCAGCATCCAGTAGGCATCGGATGACAGAGGTTCAGATCGACCGTGCTCCATCTCCTGTACCAGACCAGGCATCATGGCGAATCTGCTTTTGGCACGCCCCAGAAGGTCTCAGAGTTCCATCTTTGCTCACTGCCAGGCCGATGCTGAAGTTCCCCCAGCTGATAAGCAGGCGAGTGTTTCGACAAAGGAAATGTAGGGACTAAGGTTTGGGTTTCAATCTTCTGCCATCTTGCGACGGGCTGTGTCCTCTGCAAGAGTCCCTCGTCCGACTGCTGATGTGGCTGTGTGCGTAGCAAGGAGAGTGGAGGAACATGTGCAGCGATGCTTCCCACATCCCCAGATCCCTGCTTCTTTTTGGCCTCTTTGACCAGGGGCCGGTGCAGCCAAACTCTATTTTGACATGCAAGTTCGTGGACTTGTTCAGAGATTCCAAACTGAAGACAGCGGTTGTCGTAGACGGTGCCAGGCAGTGGTCATTCCAGGAAGCATGCTGACGTTTGATCGTTGTTTTTGATGCATGCTGCAAACCTGCAAGCTTGTTGCTGCAATACATCCAGAGCGCATCAACGTAGTAACTCCGCGGCTCACAAATTCTCGAGCACAGCAACGTGACAGTGGTACCATGGAGCCTGCCTTGTCGATTTGAGCAGGAACATGAACACTCGGCCACTGAGCTGGCTTCTGGCAGGCGCAATCAGGGCATGAAGCGTTGCACTCGATGACATCCGAGGGGCAGCCCCTCCCCTCCCCCGAACTGGAGCTGAGAAGCTTCAGGCATTCAAGACTCGGTGCTCTTGTGCTCTCGGACTCTTCCGTTTCTTCCCGTGTCGGCTCAAGTCTGAGTCTATAGTAACAAGTGTACATTGGCTGGTTGCCAGTTTTTCTTGTGAGTTAGCTGACGCAATGAAGCAAACGATCTTCCTCCGGCTTTTCTTTACGCTGGCCGCTCTTTGTCCGGTGGCGGCCATGAAGGCCGGCAGCCTCTCCGGCCGGAGCAGAGACGCAGGTGGTCCATCCCCGGCCCCTGCCACCAGCCAGGACATTACCGAGGCAGTGATCGACAACATCCAGCATGATGTAGAGCAGTCGCAAGACATGCCAGAACCAGAGAGCGACACCAAAGAGGCCGAGGGGCTCGGGTTCGGCGAGTTGGCCAAGAACTTGGAGTTCCTGATGCTCAAGGTGGCCCAGCTGGATCTGCGGCGGCACGAAGTCGGAGGAGTGCTTTTGTTTTGGTACGTGTAGGCTTGTAAGAGGGGCCTAGTGAGCAGCGTGGCAGCCAAGGAGACCGCCGTGGAACTCCTGGAGGAGAAGACTAGCAAACAGGAGCGAAACCTTCAGAAGTGCATGGAGGAGAAGAGCGGACCAAAGCCCCCGCCCTCGCTCGTCGAGCTGGAGGCCTTGAAAGAAGAGAGAGCTCAGCGTGCCCAGACGGTCTTAGACAAGGTCCTCCGCAAGCACGAGCACCAAAGGGAGACGCGCCAGTGGGTCACTCCGGTGTCTTTGGAGCAGCGGGAGCAGGGCTCGTCGGGCATTAACCCGGTGGATGGGATTGCAAGCGCGGTCAATGCTGCAGTGGGCAAAGTCGCAGACGCATTGGAGAGTGCGTGCATCCCCATTCCACCAACACCCCACCTGACCAACGACGAATTCGGACTCAACTTGGGCTCCTGGAAATGCGAGGTCAAGCTCGGAGGTAAAACGATACCCATCATCGACATCAAACTGGGAAGGATTTCGCAGGACTGGCCCCAACATGTCAAGACGGCCATCACCGTCGGCTCCGGGATGAAGAAATGTGCTGCTCAGGTTGCGGCAAGCTCGCCAAGCTCGCTCTACGGTTGCATATCGACCGAAGTCGTGGAGGCTAATCCTGTGTTGTCCATGGCATATGCGCTCTTCAGGGACCTGTGGATATGCAATGGCAAGAAGTGGATGAATCCGCGCGACAACGCGGGGGAGATCTACTCGTGCCTCGGCAACAGCTTGTTCGACAACGTCCCGCAGCTCTCCAAGGCGAAGCCTTTGTTCGACGCCACCCAGGCCTGTGAAGGCGCAAATGCGAACACCATGAAGTGCATCTTCAACAACGTCATGAAGGATGTGCTGGGTTGCACGGATATGAGCTCGGCGCAGTCGGTCGCCATTTGCCTGGGCAACAACATGATCAACTACGTTCCTCCCTTCACCTTCTTCAACAAGATAGGCGACATTATTGGGGACATGATCGAGGGCTTCGCCAGGATCGCGGCAGGCTTGATGAAGCAGGTCCTCAAGAAGGGCCAGGCCTTGATCCAGCAGGCCGTGTCCACCAAGTTCCCCGCCGTCGGAGATGGTCCGATGGTGCGCCACGAATCCTCGAACTTGAGGATCTACACCCACTCTGCACCTCCAAAGAAGCGGGGCATGTCGGCCTTGCAGGAGGAGAAGCCGGGAACCGGCCTCTCGTGGGGCTTCGGCTCAGACAAAAGCCACCAGCAGACCAGGCTGATCACCCAGCGCCTCGGCCGCTCGAGACTTCCCCTAGACCCAGTGCCCTTCGCCCTTCCCAGGCACGCCCTTCGTGCGTGCTCCTCCTGATTTGCGCGAGGTTCCTTGGCCACGAGGTGGACACCAGCTCTTGCCTTGCCTTCGCGCCCAAGAACAAGCACGGCCACAACGGACAGGCCACCCAAACGGATTGGCAGGCGGAGAGGGAGAGGGGGGCTTAAGAAAAGAGGAGGCTCTGGGACGAAGGCTCGGTCTTTGTGTGGTTTTGGTTTCTCTACGCAGGTTCAGAACCCGGACGACTTCGTGCCGCTCGAGCCCTGGGCCGTGCCTTGTGGCAATGCCTGGATGAAGGACAACGCAGACAAGTGGCAGGGCTACTCTTTTTACTCCGCCGAGATGTTTATCGACGAATGTCTCACGATCACGTACTCCATCAACGTCCAGCCCGTCGCCGCATTCATAGGTGGGGTCCAAGTCAAGGTGATGCCCGAGAAGTGGGCAGAAATCCTAACCACTATTTGCTGGCCCAAAAGGCGACCTGGTGGCTTGGACCTGAGCGTCCTGAAGACTGAGATCAAGTCCCACGGCATCCTGCTCTTCTCCCGGACCCTCCGCCTCACCAAGCGCTTCGGGGATGGCAATGAATTCTTCCCGCAGAACGTGCAGGCCAGCACCAGCACCTGGAAGAAGCCGCAGCATCCGCGTGCCACGATGTCCAGGACCAAGCTCCTGCAGACGGCCCAGGGCCTGAACCACTCCATCCGCTCCGAGGACGACGAAGAGCACGAGGAGAAGGAGGACGAGGGCGTGTGGGAGTGGCAGGACGACCCGGAGGACCTCTACCTGGCCTCCGGCAACTTCACCGACGACGGCCTGAACCTCACCTCCGAGCTCCGCGGGCACGCCGTCGCACATCATCTGGGCCTGCTGCAAGAAGCCGCCGAAGCCGGCGACTCCGAAAAGGCGCAAGGCATCTTCGAGCTCTTCAACCTGCAGCGCGGGAACAACGATCTCGTGAGCTTCCGCTTCCGGGCGGTCCTGGAGGCTCCCTGCTAGTGCTCTGGGCCTCTAGGAGAACAGGACTGCAAAAGGATAATCAGATTAATGTGGCAACAGGATATATCTCCGCCTTGTCTCACGTCGCAGAAGCATCTAATCCCACTCCAACTCTCCCATGGCCTGGCACCTTGTTGTGACCCTCTGTAGACTATAATCTCGCCTTCTCCGCCTTTTTGCTCGTCTTGTGACTTGTGCCAGAAAGCTCCCGGTCACAACACAGTTCCCCGCCCCGCGCAACGCTCGAAGTTGTGTGTAGCCGCGCCTTCCCTGGCCAGGGCAACAGCTTCCAGCTGCGCACGCAGATGGGCTTCGGGCCGTTCGAGATGCGTGAGAAGAGCATTCAGATCATTAACATCATGGACCAATTCAAGGTCGTGCTGCATGCTCTTCCTTGGGTGTCCCATCGCAGCGCGGTCTCAGCCATGGAGGCCTTGGAGAGCTTCTCAGCGAGCAGCCTGCCGATCGTGGAGGTTGAGCCGGGCAGCACCATTGCGCTGATGAACCCCACCCACAGAAGGTACGTCGAGGTGAACAGTGACGGGAATCCTGCCAGCAGCGTCGGCTTGCACTTCAGCTTCCCTGGCCTGCCAGCGGACTGGATCTTCGCGCGTTGGACGGTCATCGACGTTGGCAGTGGGGAGATCGCTTTGCACAACGCCAGGTGGAATCGCTTCTTGTCGATGCATCACGGCGTCATCTTCGGCTGGGAGGCGGCCGCCAGCGAGATCAAGTCTGACTGGAACCACCAGCGCTGGACCGTGGTGAACCTGGGGAAGGGAGAGATCGCTCTGTACAACCGCGCCGCGAATTCGCTCCTGAAGATGACTCCTCATGGTGCGCTTCAGGCAAGTCCTCCGAAGACTCCCACGAGCTACGGTCCGAACCCGATTCCCAGCGACTGGCTCTGGGAGCGCTTCACGGTTCAGGTCCTGAAGCCTTACTTGAGGGTTGGGGCGAAGGTGGGGCTCTACAGCCCGCATCACAAGCGCTGGCTCACGATGGAACATCATGACATGCAAATCAGCGTTCCGACGGCTGACGCAACCTTTCCTCACGGATGGTGGAGGGAGCTGTTCACGGTGGTGGATGCCGGGAACGGGCAGATCGCCCTGCACAATGAGCACTTTATCCGCTTTGTGTCGCTGCAGCCTGCCCCTGAAGCAGTCATCAACGTGAAGGCGACCGCTACCGCCGTCCAGAAGTTCGCAAACGATCTCCCCACATCATGGACGGCTGAGAGGTTTGCAGTGGTTCCCGCAGGTGCTGGGCTGATAGCCCTGCACAACACAAAGGCCAATCGCTTCCTTCGCATGTCCCCCCACGACATCGACAGCAGCCCCATCGCCAAAGCCAATGCGCTCCAGGACGACTGGTACTGGGAGCGTTGGCAAGTGGTGGAGGTCCAATCCGCCGCCGACCAATCCGGGCAAAACCTCCTCCCTGGCTGGTCCACGGCAGGGATGGCTTGATCTCCCTCAGCTGAGTGGCGCTTGTAGGACTGGAATGGTGCCGGCGCACCGTGTCAGCGCTGGAGGCGACAAAAGTTGCAACGTTGCATTGCTCTCTCACTTTGCACCCCAACATGTCCGGAAAGTGCCCGAAACTTTACATGGCATGTTCAGATTTCTTCAACCCTTGAACCTTGGAGCCGAAAGCCTGCAACTTTGTGGCAGGTGACCCTAAACCCTAAACCCTAAACCCTAAACCATAAACCCTAAACCCTAAGGTGCTACGGAGCGGTGACCGCTTCTGTGGGCGGCCACAGCCCAGGGCCCAGCCCAGCATACGGCATGCCGCATACGACAACCACTTGGAGAAAGGGGATCAACTCAAGTCAAACCTCCAGGTTTAGGGTTTAGGGTTTAGGGTTCGAGTTGTTAACGAGAGCAGGTATGCTGGCAACGCAGGAAAACGTCAGAGCCTGATGGGAGGGGCATTGCAACTGCCAATGCACATGTCTTCAGGGCCTTTCCTGAGTATAAGTATACTGCATACTACAATTTACCCTAAACCCTAACCCCTTGTCCCTAAAACTCCATTCCAATTATCAAGGCCCTTAGTTCGCGTTCGTCCACAGGATCTGCAGCCTGGAGGGCCAGGATGAGGGCAGATGCTGCCAGAGGCCAGGGACATGAGAGACTCATGGCACATTGAGGCGAACTAGACGAGTGCCTGAACGTATGTGCGTACAGTGTGTACTGAGCGTGTACATAAGATAGCTGTACAATTATGTGGTGATATTTATATACCTAAAAAGGTATGTAGTGATATGTATACATACACCTACCTACCTACCTACCTACCTACCTACCTACCTACCTACCCACCCACCTACCTACCTACCTACCTACCTACCTACCTACCTATCTATCTATCTACCTACCTACCTACCTTCTGTAGGTAGGTAGGTAGGTAGGTAGGTAGGTAGGTAGGTAGGTAGGTAGGCAAGTAGGTAAGTAGGTAAGTAGGTGGGTAGGTGGGTAGGTAGGTAGGTAGGCAGGCAGCTAGGCAGGTAGGTAGGTAGGTAGGTAGGTAGGTAGGTAGGTAGGTAGGTAGGTAGGTAGGTAGGTAGGTAGGTAGGCAGGCAGGCAGGCAGGCAGGCAGGCAGGTGTGTATACATACATACGCAGTT